GGTCGACGAAAGAGGGGGAGGCCTTCAGGGAGATGGATTGATACAGTGGCTGCGATGATGGGCTCGAGTATAGCAGGGATTGTGGGGCTGGCGCGTGTTTCGTTCTGCTGTGCATGGGGTCGCTATGAGTCGGAAACGACTCGACGGCACTTAACAACAACAACAACAACTGGTGGCATAGGGCCTAAGGCATTTGACTGCTAACCAGAAGGTTGACTGTTCAAACTCACCAGTCACTCCTCAGAAGGAAGACTGGGCAATCTACTTCCATAGAGATAGCACTTCGGAAACCCAAGGAGCAGTCACTATGAGTCAAATCGACTCGACAGCAGTGCGTCTGGTTGGGCTTTTGGTTTGTGATCTTTTGGAAGTAGATTGCCAGGCTTTTCTTCTGCAGCACCTCTTGGTGGGCTCCAACCTGTCAGTTAGCAGTCAATCCTTAACTCTTCCCCTATCCAGGAACTCCTTTCAATAAATAGTAGTTTGCTAGTTTCCACATGGAGATTGTCATGGTGGATTCACTTTGGGCTGTAGGGGGCCCCCCTCTGTTTTAAACCCAAGTTTCAGTATAAACCTCACTCCTTTCAGAAGTCAGTTACTGAACTAATGAAGCAAAAGTGCTTAGGGGAGACCCACAATCTTGGAGACTGCCGGGTATGCTTTGAGAAGGCAAGGCCAGTCTCTAGGGGGAACAAGGACTGAGGACAGGGGCTTCACCCTGCACTGTGATGCTCCAGGAAGGTGAGGCTCTAGGACTTAAAAGACAAACCTCAAAATGACCTGCATTCCTCCTGGCCTAAACCATCTTCTAGGCTTTGCTAGAAGGAAGGAAAATCAAGGCTGAAAGGCAGAATCTGATTGTGGATGGGGTGCCAACACTGACACTGCTCACCTCAGTGCCAGCCAGCCAGGAAGACACGGTGCAGAGGACCGCCACAGGAGAGTCACGGCCATGACGCCACCCACTTCAACAGTTGAGCTTTAGTTAAATGTCGACAGAGTGCCTCGCCTGTCAGGGCAGGAATACACTAGAGGGGCGGGGCACCATCACAAGTATCAGGGACCGAGGACAGTGAGTCATCCAGACCCAGGACTCCCCTTCCAACCTTCCCTTATGTTTAGATTGCCTGCCTGGGCAACACTCATGCTAGGCTCCCTGAAGCAACTGTTGCAGGAGTCCCCACAAATTGGCAACTGTGCCCTGTAGTGAAAGAAGCAACGCTGTGACCACGGCAAATGCCGCCTTTCTGTTGTCCTGTGTCCACGTCTCAACAAGGAGGGGCTCCATGATGTCCGGGATAGTAAGGAAAGGCTACCCGTTCTGCAGGGTCTGGCTGGCTGTCCCCGCGGTCCTCACGCCCCCTCTCGTCTCCATCACTGAGTCCCGCTAAGCTTCCCGCACCTGCATCCCGCGCCCCTGACAGCTCTGCAGACCGGTCTTGGACCAGCCGAGGTCCAAGAGGTAGGCTGGAGGGCCAGCGCCGGCCGCAGGAGCCCTTTCGGGGCGCGGGCTTAGTGTGACGCTTCGCACGTGACCAAGGACCCCGAAGCTATCTGCAGCCCCAAAGGCAAAGAAAAGTAAGCTGGAGCCCAGGGCGCGGCCGGAGAGCGGCCCGGGACCATTTGTGATCCTGGGGCGCCATCTGGCGTCCAGCGCGAGCACGACTGGAGGAGAAGTTCTACGAGGTAGAGCTCTCCCAAGACGGCCATTTTCCTGAACTGACATCCCCATTTCCCGATAGGCACTGCGCCAAGACCTAGGTTGAGGAAATGGCGGCAAGCGCAGGCGCGCACACGATGGTCGCAGCCTCCTGGAGTCTCAGACGCGCGCAGGCGCACGGCATTCCTTTAGGTCGCCAATGCGCGCAGGCGCACACTGAATGAGTACTCGGATTTGAAAAAAAAAACAAACCTACCAACCTCACTGCCTTGGAGTCGGATTCCACTCTCAGCGACCCCTCCTTGGGTTTCCCAGGCGGTATCACTACGGAAGTAAGTTGCCCAACCTTCCTTCTGAGGAGTGGCTGGTGGGTTTGACCCGCCAGCCTTCTAGGTTGGCAGTCAAATGCCTTAGGCACTACGCCACCTGTCAAAACAGGTGCTAATTTCATAGGTGAGCAGTCCTCAGGACTATGCGCACACAGGCGACCGCGTTTCATGCCTGCTGCCAGTGGCCCTGCAAGGCTAGTGGGCCTGGTCTGCATGGACCTCCAATTCCTGCAGAGATTGTGAAAACTCTACAACAATTCCAGACACTAAACAGGAGAATAAACTGTAATTGAAAAGATACGGATGCTAACCTTTCTCTTTATATTAAGGGGGGAGGAACAACTCAGAAAGGAGGGTGAGAATGGTTGCACAACTCCAAGAATGTCATCAGTGTCACTAAACTGTACATGCAGACACTGGTGGGCTGGTGTATGCATTGCTATATGTACTCCCAAGAACAAAAATGATTTACTTTTATAAAAGGAAAAAAAAACAAACATAGATGCTGGAGCTTTAAGCCTCAAGCTCTTCCCTGCTAGTCCTCACCCTCCTTTCAGCATCTTTTCTACTTATTTTGGGGAGGGCTCCCCAAGGGGCTTATGGGCACAATCAGCCACTTCCCATGCCAATCAGAATCCTGTCACCCAGCTCCTATGGCTTAGGGGACTGCACAGCCCCATCACTGACCACACTCCAATACAGACTCCAGTGACTGGGTGCCAGCCACTGGCTACATTCCACCCCCACCCAGCCTCCCCTCCATTGCCTACAGCAGAGTCGAGACTCAGCAGACAAACCCAGTGAGATTTATTGAAAGGAACACTTACCTGGAATCTTTGGGTTCCTGACATCTCCCATACTACCGCTGATAATACTACCCCCCTCCACTCTCTGTCCCAGAATGTCCCAGGTATGGACAGGGCTACTCTGGCCTTTCCCCCACAGCCCTCACCACGGCTCCTCAAGCCACTTATCAGGGTGCCCACAACCCACTTCCCGTAGCCCCTATCCTGAGCTTCAGAAAGGCTGGAGGATGCCTGTGGACAGATGGAGCCAGGCCCGATCACCACCACCAACTTGGGCTCAACAGTACTGTTCCCCCACACATGAAGGGGCCCAGTCGCTGCTCCCTGCTTCCCAAAATTCCCAGTTCACAACAGACTAAGGGCAGCCTTCCACTGGGGCAGTTCCCAGCATAAAGAGTTCTTAGTACGCAAAGGATGAAGACCACTGCTGGTCCAGGTCCCATCCCTCACCATGGCCCCCCAAACTGCCCCTCAGGCCACTGGGTTTGGGAGGGGTCTCCTGGGTCAAGCAGGGCCCTCCACCTGGGATTCCTCAAATGGCACCAAGGGTTCATAGGGTTTCAGGGTCAGATCCTGGCATCTGGTGCCCAGGGGCCACCCTCACCTGTGACCTGGAACCTCCTGCCTGTTCTCAAGGGCTGGGAGGTGCTCCTCAGAGCTAGCTGGGGAACAAGACCACTCATCCCTGGGGGGTCTAGTGAGGAGTAGGGGCACAGGCCAGCTGTCTGTGCCTTCCCACTAGCTCTGAGGAAGCCTTGCCTAAGCCACCCTGCAGTAGCCATCTCACATAGCCATGTTCTACGTAAGCCTTCAGTGGCACCAAAGCACAGGACGCTGTCCAGGCCCCTATCCCCAGCAGCCCTCAGCTCCATGGCCACAGCAGAGACAAGACTCAGCAAACACTTGACAAGCTTTATTAAGAAAAACACCCAACTGCAACAGTTGAAGAGAATTACAAAAGACAGGATGAAGAACCACTACAAGAGGTCACTGGGTCCCTAACCAGGAGCCTCAGCAACCCCCCACATTGTGGCCATCCCCTACCACCAGGCCCAGGCCCCACCTCCCTGGAGACAATGGACAATGGGCTCTGGGGGACCCCTCCCTAGACCTCTGCTGGGTGGTGGCCCTACACTGTGGCCCCATGGGACATTCACAAAAGAATACTGGAAAGCATAGCAAATAAGACAGGATCACACAAAGGAAACTGAGTCACGAACACTACCAGGGGTGGAGCTTCCTGAAACTTGCACCATCCCTGGTCCATCCTTCTTTATGTGGTTACAGTTACAGACTGAGGGTTGCCACTCCATAGGCAAGACCTTCAGGCCCACAGACTGGATCTCCCGGGCCTGCCCCAGGAGCACCAGCCGCCTGAGCTGGGGTAGGAGCACTTTCACCTTCCTGAGTGACTGGGGTGCCCTCTGAAGCAGCACTGGTTCCTACAGGAGCCTCAGAGATGTCTGCAATGTCGTGAATGGACTCACTGCCCTCTTCAGTGGCTGAAGCAGCCTGGGCAACATCTTCATTGGCTTGGTCATCTTGGGCAGTGTCTTCATTAACTGGAGTGGGCTGGGTGACATCTTCATCGGCAAGGACAGCCTGCACAGCACTCAGGGTACGACTACCTCTATCAGCCCTTTGCTCTACGTGGGTGAGCACCTGCCTGGCCCGGGCAGCCTCCAACACCTCGGTCTCCTGAATGAGCTGCAGCAGTGCCAGGTAGCCTGGAGGCCGCCCCTCCATGCGCATCCTCCTCAGATTCTTGTGCAGAGTAGGATTGGGGTGAGCCTGCATCA